AACCACTTTGTGTCCCCAGACGTAATCATCCCGTCCCACCCTGGCAGAACTTTGATATCACAACTAATACCGACCTCGCAAAAAAAAAAAAAAAAAAAAAAAAAAAAAAAAAAAAAAAAATACTGAACCTATTGGCAGGACACAAAAAAGAATATCGACACTACTCCAAGATTATAACAACTTCTACCAAGTCTACACAGACGGGTCTAAACGTGATGGAATTGCAGGCTGTGCTATATTCCAACCACCAATTAATAAAATTGACTCTCTCCGTCTCCCAGATTACTTCTCCATTGCTACATGCGAAGCGTGGGCAGTTCTTCAAGCAATTATAATTAGCACTAAAACACCAAAAGATACCCCCATTGCAGATTTTTCAGACTCGCTATCAACTTTGAAAGCCATCGAGAACAGGTTCAATTCCAATCCAATTATCCAAAAAATCCAAGAAATACTAGAAAAGCAAGCTATAAATGGGACCCAAATAGAAATAATATGGATGCCTTCGCACAATAAAATATTTGACAATGAGAAAGCTGATGCAGCCGTTAAACATGCCACATCAATTACTCGCGCCGACAACCAAATTCAAGACACCTTCCAAGACTTCAAAAAGTTTGTAAAGGACTCCTGCCTCAGGTATTGGGACTCTGTCTGGAAATTGGATGTCTCCAAACTCCACTTAGTGAGAAAATCCATTCTTGAACCAACTCTACCCGGTAAACATTTTAAGAGAAGAGAACAGGTTGTAATCACTAGACTAAGGATAGTTCATTTCTATCTAAATTTCTGCCACCTATTTAAGAGATCAGATCCAGAATCCTGTCCAAAGTGTGGTGCAGCAGTCTCCACCTCCCACCTTATTCTTGAATGCCCTGGTACAAATGATATAAGAAAACTTCTAAAAATTGAAGGAACCCTACAACCACTACTCAGTTCCACAGACGGGTGTGCCAAAATAAATAAATTGTTAACAACTACAAAAATGTATAACCTTATATAGCTGATTAATGTAATAGATTAAACCGTACATATTGTGTAAAATGTGATTAAATGTAACAATTCTGTTCATGTAATAATTGCAACCTTGATGTTTATACATACAATTGTACAATGACAGGGGTCGCTGATGACCTAGATGTTATAAAGCGACCATAAATAAATTTAAAAAAAATAAAAACCTTACCTGCGCCATTTTTATAGGCGTGCTCTGCAATATCTGATGAATATTTAAATAAAACATTTGGAATCACGTTGATTTGGTTTTGAAAATTTGTTTAAATGTCATTGACGCGTTATGTTAAGTACAAACACAATCAAAATGTCCATTGTAAGTTCAAGAGCTCCCAATTCGGGCATATTGTTCGAAGGAAATCAATTTTGGCGAAACATTGTGGGTATCCTACTCACTTGTATGAAAGGGGAAAGTAAAGAACAGGGATCGATCGAATATGTTTTTCATATTTATTGCATTTTGACTAGCCTAAATGACCAAACCAAAATGTTCTAACCGCAAGTAACTTCATGATTTTCCCGATGCCATCTAATGCCCCCCTTTAGCATGAGATGCCGAGAAAAGAGCTATTCAATGCTACTATTATTCCGAAGTGTATGTACAGAAAACACACTGGGAACGGATTTCTTGGTTGATTGTTAGCATTGTATAAACTTTGTTGCTGAGCTATGAATGTATGGAGAAATAAATAATTTTTCACAAAATAATGAAATAACTGTGAAATAATTTCATTTTCTGATTTTATCATCAATGCTTTTTGTCGATGTTTTCATCGACATCGCAAAACTTTTGATGATGTATCGGAAATCGATGTTTGGATAGAATTTGCCATCTCTTGTGATAGGGGTCTCGTTCGCCACGAAGACTTGTGTGAAAATCGCTCGGCCTTAAAAGTCGAATGTCTGATGCTCGATACGAGGGATGTCTTGTGCAATCAATATTGATTCAGAATGTTAAAGAACTAGAGACCAAAATTAATGCAGAGTTACATCCTATTCGCTAATTCGTATTTAATAAACAATTCAATCCTTAGGTTCACTCGACCAGAATTTCGGAGTTAATTTGGAGAAAATATAAACCAATGAAATTATTGTGTAATTGTTTAGCTGAGCTTTTTTTTCTTTTGGAAAAGATGGAAACGAGTACAAAATTATTGAAGGTTCACATTGTTGATAATACACGCGATTACTGCAAACAAATGTCACGTAGCTTGGATATCATACTCAAGTATATATTATGACAAGTCGGAATTGAAAACTGGCAATATTATAATTAGATATTTCATTTTTTTAAAAACATTAAAACAAATTCTGATAATGTGGCGAATTTTTCCTCGGGTTAAAGCCCTTTGGTTACAATTACATCGTGGGAAAAATAATGCATTTCTCTCTCTTCATAATATACTATTAATGTACTATCATCTTTTATGTGTGTGATGAAATATTAATCGGCAATCAATTCCTATTAACCCCATTAAAATATTTTATCTCAGGTGAAAATAAAGCATTGTGGACCAGACTAACTGAGAATAATAATATGAAAATGGTAGTTATTATAGCAATTGTAATTGGAAACACTTGTGGAATTAAATATACAATTTTCATTTAACGTAAATTGTCGTACAATCTGTAAGAAATAATATTTATAAGCATTTATGTATCCTGTATTCTCAGTTTTACAGGATCTTTTAGCAAAAATGTTTCTCAAGTTGTGAAACTTGAAAGAATTCACGTGTGTAATTTTCTGAAATTCTTTTATTTATTGTAAATAACATGCATTGGGCATTAGGAAGGGACGGTCTACAAGTTGGAGGAAACGCCACATTAAGCGCTATTGTCGGTGCGAAAGTTCTGTCTTTCCCTACGAGAATGCGCTCTCTGCAATGTTCAAACGTACCACTCGTGTTACCACGTCCAGCCTAGTCACCGAAATATCTTCAAAGCTATGATACTATTGACTGATTAAGTGAAAATAGTTGTTAACGAGTATGTGTATATAACGTATATGTGCTTATAAAGTATATTTAAAGTAATTGTATTTAACGTGTATACACTATTTTTTTCTCAACGTTATGAAAATGGTGCATCCTGTCTTTTGTTATTTCAAGCCTTCAATTATTCGTCTTGTTTCGTTATGAAAATAATAATTATGAATTAATTGGAAAAAATGTGAGTGATAAAATTGAAACTTGCAACCTCAGGATGATTCAATAAATTTAATCAGTTGATTTATGAATAGATTTTGAAAACAGAAATTAGAAAATAAATAAATAAAATATATACTTTTTTTACTTGAATTAAAGTTTAATTTAAATAAATTTTCAGCAAAACTTCTCTTGAAAGATAAATTTCTTTATATCTGACCCCCCTCATAATGATACAATAGTTCTCGAGAGAATCTTGTGTTTCTCATACATTTTGCTTTCGAAAATTGGTTTAAATAATGATTGAATTAAATATTGATATTTATTTAAATATTGTTTATATTAAAATTATGAAATTGTTTAAAAATAATCTACAATAAAATATCAAATGTGTTTATTGTTCAACATAAAACATGATGCCCTCCCCCAAATGCTGGCTGGATCCGCCCCTATGGCATTTTACATATGCAAGATATACATTTTGTCTACCTACAATGCTGTAATCAACAAATAATTAGAAATGAACCCAGAAATCAAAGACGGACTAGAAAAGTGTTGTTGAAATGTACAGAGAAAGAGATAAAATGGTGAAATGAAAAGAGTAGAAGAAATTGCCCTTCCGCTACGCACAGGTTAAAGCTACGATAGAAGAAATCCAGAAATATTTAGAAGAAATGCAGAAAAAAATTCAAGTGTTTTCTTAAAAGTCAAATAAAGAGTGATGAATTGCAAAATGAGCAATTTTTTTGGCTTCTAAATTCTACGATTTTTATTTTATTATTTATTTATTTATTTATTTATTTATTTATTATTTATTATTTATTTATTTATATTTATTTATTTATTATGTTATTTATTATTATTATTTATTTATTTATTTATTTATTTATTTATTTATTTTTATATTATTTATTTATTAGTTTATTTATATTATTTATTTATTTATTTATTTATTTATTGTATTTATTTATTATTTATTTATTTATTTATTTATTTATTTATTTATTTATTTATTTATTTATTTATTTTATTTATTTATTTATTTATTTATTTATTTATTTATTTGTTTTATATTTATTATTATTTATTTATTTATTTATTATTTATTTATTTATTTATTTATTTATTTATTTAAATTTTACTTCACCATGGAATTATATAGGTAAAAGGTTGATTGACTGAGACAAAGCTATGTGAAGATGATTTTTCAGAGTCGGCGTGTACGGTCAGGAGTTTGGAATGGATATGAATGTGTGTTTCTAGCTTTTAAGGGAACACTTAAATGGCAGCATGGTAGCGCTGGCTTTCGTGAGCACTTCGAAAAAAGGAATCCTCCTCAAAACGACAATTTAAAAAAACACATATTCCCATATTTACTAGGAGAAGTTATTTGTTGTGTAGTGAAAACGTCTTAAAGTTATTATCTCAATCTCTTTTACACACTGCAACAACTAAAAATATATATAACTGAAATTTTCACCGTAAATCTCGATTTTTTTCATATTCTGTCACTTATTTATAATAATATTAATAAATATTTATAGGGTACCATTATTTATAGGTGGTGAATTATTTCGTGGCGTATGACAGGTTACTTCATTAACATATATTTGTATTTTTCAGTTCAGATTAAAACAATACGTCAAATAGTCAACAAGGTAAAGAAGCTGTTAAAAAATGGAACAGTTTGAAAAATAGTGGTGTCATGATATGCTCTTCAATGTTTTAATTTCCACCATTTATCATTTGTGAATTATATTCTGGTCTGTAATAGCAGATCTGTTGGTATGAATAATAGCTGTTACGCACCCAATAACTTCTTTAATTTTGCCGTTATGCAAGAGATCATCCACCCACCAGCTGCATTGCTTCCAGCGGCCTGAAGTCCAGCTGTCTAACTGTGACGTCACTGGGAGGAGCTTCCTGCGCGTGTTCAAAGAGTGCGTCACCGTCGGCAAGGCGGGCGCCAGAACTTGCGCGCAGCCTGCAACGGGAGCACGCTTTCAGTCGCGTCCAAGATGTTGTGGAGCGCGGAGGGGAGGACATGAGTTGCCGGGTCTCCGCTGGACGATGTATGGGTGGACACTGGACGAGAGTTCGTTGGTAATCGTGTGACGGTGTCGTCGTAGTGATTACGCACTGAAATTGGAGCTGAGTTTCTGTGATTGTTTTCAGTGAAAGTGTGGAAGATATTTGTAACGGAGACGGATAAGTGGTGCTTATGATAGTGGTTTTCAGTTGGATATTTTCTCAGCACTCAGTTTTTTAGATCGAGGTGTGGAGAACGGTGAGTACGAATAATTTTTATTCCAAGTTTTCTTTTTATCTCCTTTTTTGTATTTTTCATTGGCTTGCTATCGAATTATAAAACGTGTTTAAATACGGTATTTAATTACACAATCACGCTAGATGTATGTAACAAGTGTAGAAACTGAAAGCATTACTTTTAGAAAACGTTTTTTCTTTATAAAATCCGAAGTCTGTTTTGGGCGAAGAAAATTTGTCATAACAGAACTTATTGAAAATTACTGTGCACCACTACATTCTTGTTTGCCTTAAAGGATTGGTGCATATACCAATATTCTAATATTGTGGGTGTTGCTTAAAAGCTTGAGGTTTCCCCTTACAATAATGCAATTCTTCTGATACGATAACTTGTCACTGATTCGTTTGGTTAATGTTGGTAGAATTATTTCAAACTCATTTAAAAGTGACAGTTCATTACTATGGTGCTTTTGTTAGTACTACAAATTTCTCCCACGTAACTACTGCCGTGGAAGATGCGTTGCAGTTCGCTCCAGGAATCATCGAACCGGCCTATCGGTAATTGCTTGGTAAATGGTTGACAGATGTTATCTTAAAACTGTTCTGCCAGTTCGAGACTTGCGACTGCACTATTCTTAAAAGTTAGTTGTGGTTATTATTACATTCACATATCCATAACATTCATTGAACGCATAGATTAAAAAATTGGTTAATGCTCATTGGCAAAATATGTAAATGTAAATTTGTATATGTTTTTAGTACTTAGAATGTTATTAATTAAGGGCTTAGTTTAAGTAAAGTCATAAATTGATGATGCATATCGCGCTGAAGTGAAGTACTCGAACAAGGCGCCCCCTGCGGAAATTGAGTAAATTACGCTGATTCATGGGTAATTGACGTTTCGAGCGCCGATCAGCACAATGCAAACCAGAACTGCAATCGTAGCAACTTTCGAAATTGAGTAAGTCAATTGTTCACGTATGAGTTACGCAAAGTTACAGGTAGTAAATAGTTATTCCATCGATCATTAAGGTGGCTTTCAAATTGTATACCCAACTTAAACTTTTCACAAATGGAGTTAAATCGAAATATTCAACAATGTAGGATGGTTCCGAAGTAAATTATAATTTGTGTGGTCATTTTTTAATATTTACACTGTTCACTTTCACATGTTTATGGTGGCTGCGGGATAGCTATTCCCAAAAAGTTGGAAATGTTACGTCCAAGAGAAATATTTTTTAGTAACGATTCGTTTTTATATACATGACTGATGACAGAGAAAATTTAACACAAATAAAAGCACCCAATTTACACAATTAATTGTTTTTTATTTCTGGGTTATTTTTTGTTGTAAACAAATATATTCATTTCTTTTGTTAATAGTAACTAATTTACACGTTTCTGGAATGTCTATAATTTTCTGAAATGCAAACTAGCTATATAAATTAATTTTCAAACCAACTTTTGAGTACTTATTGCGACTCAATAATTCCATATATCGAAGAAGTTTGTGAGACAAAATATCCTTAAACTTAAAGAGCTTATTTTCAACTTTTCGTTGTGTCCTTCCTGAACACCGTACACAAATATACAATATTGTACCAAACCATTTCGATCGACATAGTGCGTTGTTTAATGAGCAACTTATACATATATTCCGTTGTTGAAGTTTACGCCTGTATGGAATGAGTTGTCTGAGAAACTAAATAACAGTGATAAATACAATTTTTGTAAAGACCCAGTTTTTCTTTCAAAAGGAATTCATCACATTGGCATTGGAGACTCAATTCCGAACAAAAAAATCACACTTTTGCAATGAATATTTTGTTGATGATCAGTCCAATGTTGGATTTTTTTATTTCAAGCAGGTTGTATATGCAGCAAAGTGTCAGCGTTACTGCTTTCGTTTGTGTGCTGCCTTGTCTGCATGTCTCCGCCGGGGCACTGTGAAGTCGTGCTCGGAGGTCGCGTTATACGCAAGTGCTTGGCGGCGTGTGGGGGAACTCGGTTGTCGAACGGCACGTCCCTCGTCCGATCCGCTCGTGGTTGAGTCCAGTTTCAATGGCTCAGCCGAGAGTGGCATGTAAGGACATACAAGTTTAGCTTTGCTAATTTTGCTCTTTCATTGGTGGGGGCGAGGTAGATTTCGCGCTATAGTGGCGGCTCATGAATGAGTTCAGGGAAGGGAAAATAAGGTACAGAACTTCGGGAGAAAGGGCGGGGGGGGGGAGGCATTCCCTCGGTTCCAATATATTTTTGGTAAGTTTATTCAATGTTTCCAATAAAAACAAATTGTCACACATTGATCGCATCACGTTCCAAAGACGTTTTCCCTGGGAGACCGAGGTGGCGAAGTTTTAAGAAGAAAAAAGTACACGATAAAAACGTGTGTTTTTCCTGAAGAAATTCGCAAGGGGATGTTCGAACCATGGTTGGTACTCTCTTGAATTACCATCTGAATCCGCTCATGTTAGATTTCGATTTTATCACGGGTACAATGTACTCAATGTATGAGAAATGGACAATTAATAAAAAAGTATGGCGTTTATCCATTCCTGTTTAAGTCGAGAAAAAATTCATAGTAGTAATTCCACTACATCAAAAATATTTAAATCTAACTCGCACAGTTAATCATCGACATTATTTAAAAATAAAATAATAATTACTTTGTATATAATCACTTTCACCGCATTTCAACGTAACTTTAGAACAGCGCCACGCTACTTATGTGGTTAGAAATAGGTGTCTTTAAGATGACGGCAGCCAGTTTTACAATTTGCCTGGATAAGGAGTCGAGTGGCAAGGCCTGCTATTGTCCTACGCTCATTGCTAGACCTTACAGAGCGCGATGTCAAGCGATACAGCCTCCTACGCAGAGCGCGACGCCATGAGGGAGAGAAACGAGACCGGGTGCGTTGATTTTGAAAAAAAGTATTTTCAGCAGTAAAGATTTTGTAAAATACTAATCTTGATTTAGACTACGAAAACCTGTAGTAATTCATTTGAGGAGTACAGTAGAGAAAACAATTCAGAAAATATTTGTGTTCATGCTAGTTACTATTGCCTTTAGTAGGTGTTAGTCATTTTATTTTAGCAAAACATTGAACAAAGCACACGCATTTTTTATCTCCCAATTGTTTGAAAAAAATCGGTTTAATTAATTCAGATGTGTAATAATTCTCACAAGAAACACAGAAGATAACGTGAATATGAAACAGGTTTTCCTGTTTAATGTACTTTACGTTTCCTTTAATCGCAAGTCATTAACATACAATGACGCGACAATGCGGATGTTTGTGAATCTAATAGGCATGCTGAGTATCTGCCAGCCTCAATTAGCTGATATCATTTAGCTCTCGGTTGCGTGAGGGACGCGTCGCTGGTTGGTTAAGCTGTGACTTTCGGCCACCCGTCCGTGGTCGAAAGCAGCTCATAGCCAACTAAAGCCTACATCTTCGCAACGTTAATACTGAGTACTTGGGAGACTGAAGAAAAAAAAAGAACAGTCGTTGATATTAGTTCCACCTCTCATTTGCTCTTCACCTTACGCAATTTCCCTTCCCATTCCCTTAGTTGCCGCTTCTGATGACATCCCAGCGTGCATGGGTGTGCGGGTGACGGGATGACGCACTCGCGTGTTCCGCGCCCCGCCCCGCCCCGATGTCGCGCAGTGGCTGCGCCGTGGATTTACAGCGGGCGCGCGCCGCAGCCGTCGTCGCTGCCGCGGGAGCCGGCGGCTGTTGGACCGAGCGGCGTTGCCACCCGCGCGGGGGCGCGGTAAATTTCCTCCTGTTAAACGAACTGTCAGATTAGCCGCCGATGATAATGGATTATCGCTGGGAAAATAAGCGCCTGTTAAATTGTTTCCCCGGCCGCCGTAATTGATTGGGGAATTCGGCTGGTGGAGTGGGCGGCTGGGGGGGTGGGGTGGGGTGAACGCAGGGGTGGGTCGTGGCGCGGACGCCGCGGGCCGTCACGACGCGACGCTGCGGTCGCCCGCCCGCTGCTCCGGTGGTCGAGTGGCTCCGTCGCGGCGGAGGAGCCTCGCGCGGTCGGTTCCTGCCAACCGCACTCAGCCTCCGACTCGCAGACGTGTGCTTGAGGCGAATGAAACAGCTGCTCCTCTCTATTCTTTTAACTTGGATTACATTTCTTCGAAGTTTGTATCTCAGGCTTACTGTAGGACGTAAGAATGTGATTAATTAGATCGCTGGTGAGGTAGATAATTTATACTTAATTTTTTATAATTCACGAATTAATATAATTTTATTTTTATCTCTAAGGATGATTGCTACGCCATTGAAAATATCTTTAGCATAATATATTTTCTGTTATCAAACATCATCTTTTATTTACTGTATAAGAATGATAAGATGTGACTAACACTGTAATATGGTGCAGTGTCACGTCCATTTTACTCGGAAGGAAAGGAAGTAGGAACACATTTATTCATTTGAGTATGTATTACAATTTTTCCCTTTAAGAATATATTAATACGAAGCGCATTGTCTAAATAATTCATTAGCAGAATTGGTCTTTTCGACAGCAGCTGCGATTGACAGTACTGTGTTACGAAGCGCCGGCTTATCGCTGGCAGAGGACTTGACTTTTTCTCTCTCGCTATGCATTGGGATGTGACGATAGGAATGAAAATCTATATGCAGGATTTTTGCAGGATTAGAAATTTAAATGAAATATCTTTCTGGATTAGAATTTAATATGCAGTTATGCTTAGGTAACTCGGAGAGTTGCATGCATGCTCTGGGATGTGTTAGGTACGCTGTTATCTGTCAGGTAAGAGTAATAA